GAGGAGGGTGGCTGGCGACCCCCAGGTCCAGCCCCTCCCACCACCTGAGAGTAGAGGCTCGGCCTCTATCCTGGATATCTGGGATCCACCTGTGACTTGCCTTCATGACTAAAGAGCCTCGGTTCCGCCTCGGGGTCTCTGGAGGGGCTGGCCAGGGCCTGAGGGATGCCTGCAGCCCTGAGCAACACCTAGAGCTGGGTCACAGCCCTTGGCGGCCGGATTTCAGATACGAGTGAGTCCTCCATGACAGGGCGGAGGCTTGAGCGGAGGTGACCTTGAACCACCTTAGGTGGGCGTTCCAGCAGCAGGCCGACATGCACAGGCCCCACTCCTGAGTGGGTGCTGCAGTGGGAGAGGGTTCCGACGGTGCGGCACCAGGGTCCCACACCGCATGGCAGGACAGCGGGGGCCAGGAGGAGGCCAGGCTGGGGCAGATATGTGTGTGTGTGGCCGGGCTGGGCTGTCGCGAGCCCGCAGTGTGGGTGGCGGGAACTTTCTGCGCCAGCTCCTGACTGAGGGAACCTGGAGCCGACAGAGAGCCAGGTGTGATGCAGAGGCTGAGCTGCACATTGGGACTAGAGCGCTGAGCGCTGTGCCAGCCCTGAGTAGCTGGGACCGCGCCCACCACCGTGCCCGGCTAATTTCGTATTTTCAGTGAGACGGGTTTCACCATGCTGCATTCGGCTGGCTTCAAACTCCTAACCTCATGATCTGCCCACTTTGGCCTCCCAGCAGGGATTACAGTGAGCCACCACACCCAGCTCCCCTTTTTTTTTTGAGACGCTGCCTCACTTTGTTGCTAATCTTGGCTGACTGCAGCCCCACTTCCCAGGTTCAAAAGATCCTGCCACCTCAGCCTCCCGAGCAGCTGGGACCACAGCTGTTCGGGCCTCCATTATTTTAATAGTTTTATCTCAAGTGTTTTTTGCCACACACCACATGACTCCACCCGTGAAACGTTTGTAGAGCATTTATAAAGTTGTGCAACCACCCCACAGTCTAATTCCAGAGCATTCCCTTTACGGCTCGTAAGAAACCCACTCGCCCCCGCCAGCTGCCACTCCTCGTCTCCTCTCCAGGCGCCAGTACTGTCTCTGCGACTGCCTGTCCTGGACATTCATGGACATGGATCACACGCTGTGGCCTTCTTGTGTCTGGTATCTCACTGGACATCATGTCTCTCAAGATGCATCCTCCACCCTCGCGGCCTGGTCTGGGCTTTGCTCCTTTCCGTGGTTGAGTCATGCTCTGAGGTTCTGTGGGTGACTGAGCTGCTCCCACCTGCCGGCGACGATGGACACTCACCTGCCTGTTCTGGCCCCGTGAACTTGTGTGGGCAGGTGTCTTCGCTTCTCTTTTGTGTGTGCCTGGAGTGAGGGGACTGTCTGCAGGTCGTGGGGTCGTTCCATCTGGGCTTTGGCCCCACTGGATGGGTCTCGCATCTCGTCCTTGCTGGCTCCTGGGAAGTGGCGTCTTGCTGGGGCTGGCCATTGCATTTCCTGGTAGTGGTTTGGGGCGGTCCTGGGTGGGGTGGTCCTTTGCCCGTTTTCAGCTGGGTTATCTCCGTTTCTGTTTCTCTTCTTTTTTTTAGAGACAGGGTCTGCCTGTCACTCAGGCTAGTGCCGTGGTGGGACCACAGCTCACTGCAGTCTCGACCTCCTGATCTCAAGCTATCCCCAGTTCGCCTCCCGCCTGCCTGCCTCCTCCTGCCTGCCTCCTGCCTTGCCTGGGCCTCCTCCTGCCTGCCTCCCTCCTGCCTGCCTCCTCCTGCCTCTGCCTCCTGCCTGCCTGCCTCCCCTCCTGCCTGCCTCCTGCCTGCCTGCCTCCTCCTGCCTGCCTCCTCCTGCCTGCCTCCTCCTGCCTCCTGCTCTCCTCTCTGCCTGCTCTCTCCTGCCTGCCTCCTGCCTCCTGCCTCCCGCTCCTGCCTGCTCTCCTCCTGCCTGGCCTCCTCCTGCCTGGCCTCCCGCTCCCTGCCTCCTCCCTGCCTCCTGCTCCTGCCTGCTCCTCCTGCCTCCCGCTCCTGCCTGCCTCCTGCTCCTGCCTGCCTCCCCCTCCTGCCTGCCTCCCCCTCCTGCCTGCCTCCTGCTCCTGCCTGCCTCCTCCTGCTTGCCTCCCTGCTCCTGCCTCCTGCTCCTGCCTCCTCCTGCCTCCCCGCTCCTGCCTTCTGCCTCTCCTCCTGCCTGTCTCCTGCTCCTGCCTCCCCCTCCTGCCTCCCGTTCTGCCTGCCTCCTCCTGCCTCCCCGCTCCTGCCTGCCTCCTGTTCCTGCGCTCTGCCTCCTCCCGCTCTGCCTCCTCCTGCTCTGCTTCCTCCTGCCTGCTCCGCCTTGCCTGCCTCCCTGCTCCTGCCTGCTCCTGCCTCCTGCCTCCTGCGCTCCTGCTCTGCTCTCCCCGTCATTTCCTGCCTGCTCTCCCTCCCCTTCCCGGTTTTGCCTTGGCTCTTGCCTCTCCCTTGCCTCCCGATTCCCTGCCTTCTGCTCTCCTCCTGCCTCCTCGCCTGCCTCGCCTCCTGTTCCTGCCTGCCTCCCTCTCTCTCCTGCCTGTCTTCCTCCTGTTGCCTCCCGCTCCTGCCTGCCTCCTGCTCCTGCCTGCCTCCCCCTCCTGCCTCCCATTCCTGCCTGCCTCTCTCCTGCCTCCCGCTTCTCCTGCTCTGCCCCTGCCCCTGCCTGCCTCCTTCCCTAGTGTTGCAGCTACAGACTGCCCTAGCACATGCAGCTAATTTGGTTTTGTAGAGATGGTTTATTGACTGGCGCACAGGGCTAGTCTCAAGCCTGGCCTCAAGTGATCCGCCCGCCTCGGCCTCCAAAGTGCTGGAATCACAGGTACAAGAGCTGCACCTGGCCTGGGCTGTCTTTTTTTCTTTTTCTTTTTCTTTTTTCTTTTTTTTTTTTTTTTTTTTTTTTTTTTGAGTTGTAAGCACTTTTTTTTTTTTTTTTTTTCTGAGATGAAGTCTTGTTCTGCCAGGCTGGAGTGCAATGGTGCGATCTTGGCTCACTGCAGCCTCTGCCTCCCGGGTTGAAGCAATTCTCCTGTCTCAGCCTCCTGAGTAGCTGGGATTACAGGTGCCCACCACTACACCTGGCTAATTTTTGTATTTTTAGTAGAGACGGGGTTTCTCCAAGTTGTCCACGCTGGTCTTGAACTCCTGGCTTTAGGTGATCCACCCGATCACCTAGAAGTCCCCAGATGGGCTCCTCAACCTATGACCCGGCCCCCACTCCAGGTGTGATCCACTTGGCCTCCCAAAGTGCCACAGGGATTATGCGTGGAGACACTACCCCCGCCCAGCACTTTTTTTTTTTTTTTTTTTTTTTTTTTGAGACGGAGTCTGGCTCTGGTTGCTCCCAGGCTGGAGTGCAGTGGCTGGCCGATCTCGGCTCACAGCAAGCTCTGCCTCCCAGGTTCACGCCATTCTCCTGCCTCAGCCTCCCCAGTAGCTGGGACTACAGGCGCCTGCCACCACGCCCGGCCTATTTTTGTATTTTTAGTAGAGACAGGGTTTCACCATGTTGGCCAGGCTGGTCTCCAACTCCTGATCTCAGGTGATCCACCCGCCTCGGCCTCCCGTAGTGCCGGGATTACAGGCCTGAGCCACCGCGCCCTGGTGATGGCGGAGTGTGCCGAGCATTCGTGGGGCCTGGGCTGAAAAGCGTGTGTTGCTTGCCAGCCTCATCAGGAGCCGGCAGCACTTTTTTTATATTTGTAGATGGTGCGTCTTCACTCTGCCCTCATGGTGGGTTCGCGTGCATCTGGCATCGTTCGCTCGCCCTGGCCTTAGTCCCTCCCCACCCAGCATGTGCTTCAGTGGTAGGAGCAGCTGAGGCGGGCACCGCGTGGTGTGGGCAGGGGCCCAGCTGTCGGCCCTCCCCTCGAGCACTGCCCGCCAGACCCCCGTTTCTCCCCAAAGCCAGTGGGTGAGGCTGGGATCTTGCTTGCTGGAGAGGGGACCAGAGCTGACCAGGTCCCCGCCCCCACCCCGCTGGGACTGAACAGCCCCTGTGGAACCTGCATCCCCAGAGCCTGGGGTCTGCCTTGGCTCCCCTCACAGCAGTACCCCATGCACCGTGGGAGCCTCGTCTCCCTGTTTTTGTCGGTGTTACCTGGCGGTGATCTCGGGACCCCCGTGTGAGCCCTTTCTGTGATGACGCGTGCCGTGTGAGGCCATTTTCGTGTCGCTGCGGTGGAGTACTTGAGACCGCGGGGTCGTTTAGAGAGAGGTTGATTTGGCTTCCGGTTTCCAGTTCTGCAGGCTGTGCGAGAAGCTTGCATCGGCATCTGCCCAGCTGCTTGTGAGGCCAGGAGGCACTACACGCTTTTCAGCCCAGGCCCCACGAATGCGTGGCCCGCTCCACCATCACCAGGGGCCCAGCCATCCATGAGGGGTCTGCCCCGTGAGCCAGTGCCTCCAGCAGGCCATTCCAGCCCTGGGGATCCCTTTGCAGTGTGAGGTCCACAGGGGATGGCATCCACCCTCGGCATGGCTGTGGCTTGAGGCCGGTGCTGGGGAACTGTGAGCGTGGGTTTGGGGCTCACACGTGGCTGTTCCCTGGCAGGGTCCTCATTTCTCCTCTGGGACATCACCGTGTTGGCCTCGCGTTGTCCTTGGCTCTAGGGGGACCTGGGAATGAGGACTTGCAGGGGTGTGGGCAGTGTGGACATGGCCTCCCCCCAGCCAGGGGAACGAGCTGTGTGCAGGGCTGCCAGAGCATTCTGGAAAAGGGATATTGGGGCACCCCTCCGAGTGGTGCCACCTGTGTCAGTAGGTGCCCAGGCGCTGGTGATGCCCGTCATGGTGGGGCATCAGATCGCCGGGAACCACCAAAGGGTCAGCAGGTGGCCGGCAGAGGCCAGGTCCCCTCGGCTGCCCTCCAGGACCACGGGTTGGGAGCCACCCTGGCCAGCCAGAGACCACTGGGTCCGGAGCCCCTCTGTCCTCACCCCTGAGGGGTTTTTGCAGGTCATGCCAGGCGTTGCCGTGACCCGGCCTCCTGTTTTTCCTACAGGATTATATCTGTCCAAGATGCGAGTCTGGTTTCATCGAGGAGCTTCCGGAAGAGACCAGGTAATGCAGCCCCCCGTTCAAGAGGCTGGGAGAGCCGGCTGGGCCTCAGCTGCCATAGGGGTGGGGGCTGTGCTGGCGTCCAGCCCCCCGAGTGTGTGGCTGGCAGGCCCTGGCGTCCGTGGCTCTGGGAGCCCTTTCCTCTGTGCAGGCAGCAGCGTGCCATTCTCTTCTGTGAGGGCCGGGCCGGGGGGGATGCTGGCGACCTGTGCAGCCGCTCACCTCCCTCAGCCTTGGCGACTGATCTGGCGACCCAGGCCCTCCGGAGAAGGGGCCACGGGGGCCCCACCCACATCCTCGCGCTGAGGAGGTTGTTGGTGTCTGCACTCGTTTCCAGAGAAGTCTGTGGTTTACTGGCGAGGGAAGAAGTGGCGGGTTATGGTGCCAAACGCTGGGGCGGTGGCAGGTGGGAAGCAGTGCTGAGGACAGTGCCGCGCTCCCAACACAGGCTTTTGAGGGGAGGGAGCGCCTGGCGCGTTGGGACACGGGGCAGCCAGCGCTGCTGACACTCACTGTCTTCCCAGGAGCACAGAAAATGGTTCTGCCCCCTCCACAGCCCCCACGGACCAGAGCCGGCCACCGGTGGAGGTGAGTCGCCCGCCCCTCGTGCTTCCTGATCCTGTCGGCCTTGCTCGGGGCCCCGAGCACCAGCCTGTCCCCACCTTGCCTCCCTGGGCTCTCCCTGCCCGCACGGCAGAGGACATTCGTCCCTCCAGGGGCCCGGGCCGGGTCTTGGGGTGGCCCACGCTGCTCAGTTGGGGCTGATGAAAGTGAGACTTCGTCAAGGCGGCTCACACCAGCCAGGCAGGCTCTGCCCAATTCCCGCCTCCCTCCCGCCCAGCACCCAGCACCCAGCAGGGCCTGTCTTGCTTTCTCTTTTGTCTTTGTGCCCTCGTGCCCCCAACAGACTGCACGGGCCTGAGCCCCGAGGTCGCGCCCCCTCCTCTCCCCTGCACCGGCCTGAGCCCCGAGGTCGCGCCCCCTCCTCTCCCCTGCACCGGCCTGAGCTCCGAGGTCACGCCCCCTCCTCTCCTCAGCACGTGGATCAGCACCTGTTCACGCTGCCGCAGGGCTACGGACAGTTTGCTTTTGGCATCTTCGATGACAGCTTCGAGATCCCCACGTTCCCTCCTGGGGCGCAGGCTGACGAAGGCAGGGACCCTGAGAGCCGGCGGGAGAGAGACCATCCGTCCCGGCACCGGTATGGCGCCCGGCAGCCCCGCGCCCGCCTCACCACGCGGCGGGCCACCGGCCGGCACGAAGGCGTCCCCACGCTGGAAGGGTGAGGGGGCCCCGGGGGTGGCCGCGAGGGCCCCACGCCGTGAGGTCGGAAGTTCTGGTGCTTAGAATTCAGCAGCACGTGTTCCACGGAAGTGTGGCGTCATCCGAAGGCTCTCTGGAGAGGCCGCCTGGCCAGGCGCTCCAGCCCCGTGACCCCCACACTCTCTGAGAGCCTGGGTCTGTGACCCACTGGGAGCGGGGGCCCCACATAGCCCTTCGGAGACAGAAGTGTGCTGGTTCAGGGCGTGTGCATTGACCTCAGAGTGGGGCGCAGCGCGCCTGCCAGGCCCACGTACTCTGGGGACTGCTGTTCACATGCGTATCATCAAACACCGTCCTGCCCTTGAGCCCGGACCAGAGCCTGGGCGAGCCTTCACTGGGCCCCGCTGCTGGTAGAGCAGAGCCCGGGCCTCCCCCCTCCTGGCGGTGGATCCTTCTATGGTTGTGTGTCTCACCTGCTAGAAATGTCATCGTTAAAAGTGGCTGATTTTGCCGCACGGTGGCTCAGTGCTGTAGTCCCAGTGTGCTGGGAGGCCGAGGAGGAAGGATCCTTGAGGAAAGGAGTTTAAGATCAGCCTGAGCAACATAGGGAGGTCCCGTCTCTAATTTTAAAAAACTAGGCCGGGCGCGGTGGCTCACGCCTGTAATCCCAGCACTTTGGGAGGCCGAGGTGGGCGGATCACGAGGTCACAAGATCAAGACCATCCTGGCTAACATGGTGAAACCCCGTCTCTACTGAAAATACAAAACACGGCTGGGCGCGGTGGCTCAAGCCTATAATCCCAGCACTTTGGGAGGCCGAGACGGGCGGATCACGAGGTCAGGAGATCGAGACCTCACGAGGTCAGGAGATCGAGACCATCCTGGCGAACACGGTGAAACCCCGTCTCTACTAAAAAATACAAAAAAAAAAAACTAGCCGGGCGAGGTGGCGGGCGCCTGTAGTCCCAGCTACTCAGGAGGCTGAGGCAGGAGAATGGTGTAAACCCGGGAGGCGGAGCTTGCAGTGAGCCGAGATCCAGCCACTGGACTCCAGCCTGGGTGACAGAGCGAGACTCCGTCTCAAAAAAAAAAAAAAAAAAAAAAAAATACAAAAAACTAGCCGGGCGAGGTGGCGGGCGCCTGTAGTCCCAGCTACTCCGGAGGCTGAGGCAGGGAATGGCGGGAACCGGGAGGCGGAGCTTGCAGTGAGCTGAGATCCGGCCAACTGCACTCCAGCCTGGGCAACAGGCGAGACTCCGTGCAAAGAAAAAAAACCTAGTCGAGGCCGGGCGTGGTAAAAAAAAAACCTAGTCGAGGCCGGGCGTGGTGGCTCACACCTGTAAGCCCAGCGCTTTGGGAGGCTGAGCAGGCAGATCACTGAGGTCAGGAGTTTGAGACCAGTCTGATCAATATGATGAAACTCCATCTCTACTAAGAATACAAAAATTAGCCAGGCGCAGTGGCGCATGCCTGTAATCCCAGCTACTTAGGAGGCTGAGGCAGGAGAATCACTTGAACGTGGGAGGCAGAGGTTGTAATGAGCCGAAATTGCGCCACTGCACTCCAGCCTGGGCAACAAGAGCAAAACTCCATCTAAAAAAAAAAAAAAAAAAAAAATAGCTGAGAGTGGTGGAGCTCTCCTGTGGTCCCAGCTGCTTGGGAGGCTGAGGCGGGAGGATCACCTAAGCCCAGCAGGTCGGGACTGCAGTGAGCCAAGATCCAGCCTCTGCTCTCTTGCCTGGGCATCAGAATGAGACCGTGGTTCATAGTAAAGTAAACAAATAGAAGCTAATTTAGAAGTTGATGCTGGTCCTGCCCTTGGTGCTCACCACGGACCTGGCAGGCCTGGCGCCTCCCTATGCGTGGGGCGGCCTCACCCCATGACTGGCCCCCTCTGTTCCAGGATCATCCAGCAGCTTGTCAATGGCATCATCACGCCCGCCACCATCCCCAGTCTGGGTCCCTGGTGAGTAGGTGGGGGTGTCTGTCCCCATCCCCAGCCTGGGTCCCTGGTGAGTGGGGTGGGCAGATGCACCTGCCCCAGCTGCCCATCAGCCACTCGAACCCCACCTTCCACCTCCAGGGGAGTCCTGCACTCAAACCCTATGGACTACGCCTGGGGTGCCAATGGCCTGGACGCCATCATCACACAGGTACAGCGTGGCCACGGCCCCGAGTGCCTGCTGGGGGTGGGCTGGGCTGCCCGTCCCTGGGAGCTGCCCCACTGCCCAGACCCAGGAAGCCCACAAAGGTCAAGGGGGATGCGGGCACAGCCTCCGCGCTCTGGCGGGCACAGGGGGCAGCTCCAGCCTTCCTCCTGCCATTTCTGAGTCTTGGCACCCTTGGGGGTTCTCCTGTGTTCACGCGGAACGTTGTAGCGGAACCGCGCAGAGGGTTCACACGCAGCCACAGTCCCGTGCTCGGGAGGCCACGCGGTCCCTCTCCCGAGAGGTCGCGCCCCGACCTGCTTCCAGGCACCGCCCATCTCAGCCTTGCTGGGAGCCCTCGGAGTATTTTGTCACTGGCAGGAGCTGACCCTCACAGCAGCCCACGAGCCGGAGTGCAGCCCACCCCATTGCCATCGGGGACCCAGGAGCGGGGGGGCCACGTGGGTTCCGCAGTGACCTCCGACCTGGGGCGGGCTCCAAGGGGCCAGGGCCCAGGACAAATACGGCCTCGGTGCTTTTGCAGGTCCTGCAGCCTCGCGTTTCAGAGCCCCGGGCCGGGCCCCCGAGGAGCTCCCGGCACTCTCGCCTCTTGTCTTTCAGCTCCTCAATCAGTTTGAAAACACGGGCCCCCCACCGGCAGATAAAGAGAAAATCCAGGCCCTCCCCACCGTCCCCGTCACCGAGGAGCACGTAGGTATGAGAGCTCAGCCTCCCAAGTAGCCGGGATTACAGGCACTCGCCACCTCGCCCGGCTAATATTTGTATTTTCAGTAGAGACGGGGCTTCACCATATTGGCCAGGCAGGTCTCGAACTCCTGACCTCAGGTCATCCTCCCACCTCAACTCCCCAAAGTGCCGGGATGACAGGCGTGAGCCACCGCGCCCAGCCTCCGGCATTTTCCTGAAGGTCGGCTGGGAGGAGAGGGTTCTGTCCAGGTTCCCTCTGGCGGCCCGCGGGGGCACACACATGGCTTTTCTCTCTTTGCTGGGCTCAGGGGTGGCCTCTGACTGAGGCAGTGGAGAAGCCCGCCCTTGAAGGCTCGGCAGGCCCCCTGTGCCCGCTGTGACCACAGCTGCACACTCCCGCAGGCTCCGGGCTCGAGTGCCCTGTGTGCAAGGACGACTACGCGCTGGGTGAGCGTGTGCGGCAGCTGCCCTGCAACCACCTGTTCCACGACGGCTGCATCGTGCCCTGGCTGGAACAGGTGAGTGCCCTGCCCACCTGCCCCCCGACCGCGGCCCTCCCGCCTCTAACCTGCCCCTTCTCCCGTCCCCGCCTCTGTCCCCACAAAGCACGACAGCTGCCCCGTCTGCCGAAAAAGCCTCACGGGACAGAACACGGCCACGAACCCCCCGGGCCTCACTGGGGTGAGCTTCTCCTCCTCGTCGTCGTCCTCCTCCTCCAGCTCGCCCAGCAACGAGAACGCCACAGGCAACTCGTGAGCCCGCGTCGGCCGCCGGGAAAGCACGGGTCCTTTCCCACCCACCCGCCCGCAGCCGGCGCCACACGGCACCCATGGACTGGTGCCCCGGCGGGCCACGCTTGGCTGGTCAGTGCTGCAGGTCCCGCCTGTTCCAGGGCAGGATCCGGGCCCGGCCCACTGGCCCCCTGGCTCGGGAAGGCGTGGACCACATGGTCCCCGCTGGGGCGTCCCCAGCCTCCCCGTCCTCTCTCTAACCTCACCCTCTAAACGTCAGCGGTGGAAAGATTTTTATAATTTTAAATTATTACTGCTTTGAAATAAATGGACGTTTTAGCTCACACGGCGGCCATGCATGATTTGTGGCAAAAGACGGGGCGCAGCTGCCCCACAGTGCTGCAGGTGCCGCCAGGACAGGCTGCGTGGGCCCCCGGCCTCCCCTCGGCCGCCTCCACGACCCGGAGTTCGGGGGCTCGGGACCATGAGGATGACCAGCAAAATTCAAGAACAAAATTGCTCCAACAGACTTTTTTAAAGGAAAAAATATGTGTATCTTGAAAGCTATTTAAAATACACTACTTACAAAGAGAAGCTGGTGCCGTGGCTTTCCTTCTGCGCCCGTGTGTCGGGAAAGGGCCAAGCTGGGAGGCTGGCTGGGCTCCGCACAGCCCGGTGCTGTCTCCAGGGGCCTGTGCCTCCTGCAGGGCCTGGCACCCAGGACCTACTAGCAAGCCCGCTCTCCCGAGGTTAAGCCCAGGAGGGCTGCTGGCGAGGTAGGGTGGCGGTGACACCAGGTCGTGAAATTTAAAACCAGAAACACCAGTGTTAAAGCACCAGGGCCCAGCACCTCCATCTCACCCTCGGTCGCACCTCAGTCTTCCACCGCAGCCACGTGGCTTCCTGGCCCCTCTGAGGAGCCAGACCCCACTGCTCAAGGTGGCTGGATGCCTGGCCTGGGGTGCAGCCAGCTGGGGCAAGGCCTGGGGGCCTGGGGGCTGGGGGCCAGGACGGTGGGTTCGTCTCAGTGGCTGAGGATCCACAATCCTGAGACCGAAGACTCAGACGGTGGAGACGGATAACGGAGAGGAGTCCAGCAGGACCACCCGTGTCCTTCCACTGCGGACGGCTCCTGCGAGCGGGAGGTGCGTGCCCAACGCCCCCACCTGTTCTCCAAAGACTCCCGCCCTCCCCTCCGCTCCACCCCGCCCCGCTCCGCCCTCTTCACCCTGTCCCGCAACGTGTCTGCGTCAGCTCCCTTGGCCAGGTAACTGGGATCCCACCTGTTCTGACCGTGCCCGGGGCACTTGCTGGACTTCCGCTACCGCAACGCCGTGGTGAGCCCTCCTGGTGGCCGCCCTCTGGGGTCGTGGAGCCTAGAGAAGCGTTGGGACCATGACTGTGGCCGCCAGGGCAGAGTGCCAACCCTGAGGGTGTGCACATCCTAACTCCGGGACCGCGGACTGGGCACCTCACGAGGTAACGTACCCGGCACCCGAAGACGAGGTTGCATGGAGGCCACCGAGGTGGGGAGGTCACCTTGCATTGTCCTTGATCTCCAGACTAAGAGAACAACTGTGTTTTAGGCCCCAAGTCTGTGCGACAGGCCAGGCCGCCTGCTGTGGGTCACGGTCCCCTGGCCGAGCCGTTTTCCTGTTGGAAAGGCGGAGCCTCGCGCCGTTTTCGTGTTGGAAAATGGAGTTTGGAGTCAGGAGGCGTTCAGCAAGACGAGGCTTGTGTTCTGTGTGTCCGTGGTGGTCCTCGGGAGTGGAGTTGGAGCTGGAGGGGAGGGCTGGGCAGGTGAGGCTTGCGGTTGCGAGGCCTGGGGACTCGAACTGGACGGCCGTTGTCAGAGGTGCTGCCGGGCGTGTGCCTGCCTGTGAGGCTGGGACTTCCCTCCCGTGGGGTGGCCGGGGTGGCCGGAGGAGCAGGACCGATCAGGTCGCCCCACTCAGGCATGAGCCTCAGGGGCGCTGGGCCTTGAGGACACTGGCACCCTGGTGGGGGCTGTGAGGCCGCAGTGCTCACAGATCAGACAGTGGTAAGAAGTGGCCGCCCTGGTGCCCTCCCCGCCCCAGGAGCTGCTGCACGACAGGAGGTGGGACTGGTAAGGCCCGCACCCCTCCGTCCGCGGGCTCCTGGTGCCTACAGACGCCCTCTCGCCATCGCCCTGCCTCTCAGGAGTGCTTTGTAAGCGGAAGCACAGTTTGCAATAGTTTGGAGTTGGCTGATTTTCACTGCTGGCAATTTCTTGGAGAGTGGCTGGTTCTGTGCCCCCAGGCCGCCTCTCTCTGTTGTGCAGCCCCCACCTCGCTGCCTGAGGACACCGGGGCACCCAGGCTTGGGCTTGTGAATGAGCTGCTGAGGCTTCTGTGTGAACCGGGATTTCACTGCCCCGGGACGTGCCGGACTGCCTGCTCATTTCACGCTCCGTTTTAGAAACAACTGCTGACCTGTTTCTTTCTTTTTTTTTTTTTTTGAGATGGAATCTCGCTCTGTCGCCCAGGCTGGAGTGCAGTGGCACGACCTCAGCTCACTGCAACCTCCGCCTCCCGGGTTCAAGCGATTCCCCTGCCTCAGCCTCTCAAGTAAATGGAATTACAGGCATGTGCCACTACACCCAGCTAATTTTTTGTATTTTAGTAGAGATGGGGTTTCACCATGTTGATCCAGACGGTCTTGATCTCCTGACCTCATGACTTGCCTGCCTCGGCCTCCCAAAGTGCTGGGATTACAGGCGTGAGTCACCGCGCCCAGCCTGCTGACCTGTTTCTCTGAGGCACACGTTAGGTTCCTGCGTGGGGTGCCAGCAAGTTTTATTTCAGCTGTGGACCCGTGCGGCCCCTGGCAACAGAACTCAAGTGGCAGCGCCCTCTGAGCTGGTCCATGTGTGCAGCTCTCCCGACGCTGACAGCCTGGGGTCATCCTGGGCGCAGCTCTGGCCTCCACCTGCTCCATGCCAGCCAAAAGTGTCCCCAGAGGCTACCTGGTGTCCCCTGGGGCAGGGCCCCCTTCTCTGCAGGGTGCGTAGAGGCTGTCGGGCCAGGCACGACCCTCCCTTCCCAGAAGGGTTTTCCCTGTCAGGCCGCTCAGTGCCTCCCTGCAAGTGCCCCGGCCCAGTTTTCCTGGGTTTATGTGGAAGGCGGCGGCTGGGGGTGGAGCCCTGGCCGTCCCCGGGGACTGTCCCTTTCACCAGGCCTATGGTGCTGTCACCCACACACAGAAGGGGAGACGGGCCGAGGGTGTGGCTGCCTGGCTCGAGGCTGCGGGGCTGGGGTGGACCTGGGCTCTTGGCTCTGCCCTTTTCTCTGGCTGGAGTTTGACTCCAAGCGCTGCAGGCAGAAGTCCCAGCGGATTCAGGATGTCAGGAGGGCGCTGGGCACAGGTGGGGGCGACCCCGCCCCGACAAGCAGCCCTCCCCACGTCCCGCAGGACAGCGGCATGAAGCCCCAGGCCTGCCCTGCACCCAGCACGGCTCCTGCCCTCAGCCTCTGCCCTTCCCGGGGGATGTGAGGGGCCCTGAGCCGTCAGTCTCTGCCCTTCCCGGGGGATCTGAGGGGCACTGAGGTGTCAGCCTCTGCCCTTCCCGGGGGCCTTCCCGGGATCTGAGGGTGCCTGAGGTAAGCCGCCTCTGCCTTCCCGGGATGTGAGGGGCCCTGAGCCGCCAGCCTCTGCCCTTCCCGGGATGTGAGGGGCACTGAGGTGTCAGCCTCTGCCCTTCCCAGGGGATCTGAGGGGCACTGAGGTGTCAGCCTCTGCCCTTCCCGGGGGATGTGAGGGGCCCTGAGGCTTATTTTGTCATGAAAACAGTTTCAGACACCGTATTTTTCCGACGTCTGCTGTAACGAAGGACCACAAACTTGAAGGCTTAAAAGACGACATTTATTTTCTGGCGGTTCTGGAGGCCAGAGTCCAAAATGGGTCCCACCAGGCTAGTATCAAGGTGGGGCAGGGCCAGTCCCTCCCGGGGGCTCCAGTGGGGACCTGTTTCCCGCCTCCCCCAGCACCTGGAGGCACCCACATCCTGCATCCCTCAGCTTGGGGCCCTTCCTGCCCTTCCACAGTGCAGCCCATCCCCGTCTGTCTCTGGCTGTCACCCTCCCGCCTCCTGTCGTGAGGACCCTGTGAGGACATGGGGCCCTGGACCCCCCACCCCGGATGCTCCCCCATCTCTGTCCCACCTGCAGGTGCCTTTGTCCTCACAAGGCAGTGCATTTGCAGATTCCCGGGACGGGACCGACTTCGAGGCTGGTGTTCTGCGGCGTCTGTCACCGTCCCCCCAGCTCCTTCCTCGCCCCCCTCCCCTCCCCTCCCCTCCTCTCCTCTCCTGGCCCGCCCCACAACGTGCTCCCAACCCTGAGCCCTTGCCTCTGCAGGGCCCTGCCTGGGACATCCCCCTCAACCTTTCGACGTCCGCATCCTTCAGCCCGGGAGGTGCCCTGTTGGGTCCTCAAGGTCGCCAACTCAGGATTGGACCTGCTTGGTGGCCACCGTCCCCTCAGGCTGGGGTCCCCCTGGGGGGCTCCTGTGCTGTGTCCCCAGCGCCCACACGCCGTGGGCACTCAGCGCTTACAGAGCCAGCAAGGGGAAGAACAAGTATGGCTGGGCCCTCACCACCAGCCTGGGCACCTTGGGGAGCCGCCAGCCTCTCGGGGCCTCAGGAGACCAGGACGGGCAGGAAGTGGGCGGACAGGTGGTACCGCCGCGTCTGGCCGCCTGGCCGGGGCCCCCCCCTCCTGTCCAGTGCCAGGAACATGGGCTGGCCGTGGCGGTGCCAGCGCTGGGAGGCGTAGGTGTTGTGGCCGTTCTCTTCAATGCGCTCCCGGAACCTGCAGTCCACAGTGTAGAGCCGCTGCGGGTGGGGGTGAGGCCGGCCGACCCCCCCACCCCGCCAGTGCCGCCTGGCCCTGCCCGGCACTCACCGACCCGTAGAGGCGGCCCCGGCGGTCCATGGCCACGTAGAAGCCTGAGGACACTGCTTTGATGACCACGACGCCCACGTGTACAGAGCGGATCTCCAGGATACCTGGGGGAGGTGGGGGTTGGGGGAGGGCCTTGCTGGCTCACAGCCGCTCACACTGGCACTGGCTCACCCCCAGCACCGCTGCTGTCCACCGTGCTTCGTGCACGACCCTCAGGACCACGACAGACACCAGGAAGACCCCCCAGGACCACGAGTCCCCTCCCGACCACAACAGATACCAGGAGCCCCCCCAGGACCACGACAGACACCAGGAGCCCCCTGCCCCAGACCACAAGTCCCCTCCTGACCATGACAGACACTCGGGAGCCCCCCCAGGACCACGATGGACACCCAGGATCCCCCCAAGGCCATGACTGATACCAGGAGCCCCCCAGCATGTGAAGGAGGAGCGAGGAGCAGGCGGAGGGAACGAGAAGCAGGACGGCCCCTCGTGCTGGAGGGAGTGCAGGGATCGATGAGGACCCATGGGAGAGTCCACCAGGCCAGGTCAGCGTTGTCCCTGCAACTCAGCCCGAGGGCAGCATCCGTGTGTGTATGTGTTGGGGGGGAGGTCCTAGACACCCAGGGGGACGCCAGGGGCAGCAACACCACGAGGAAGGTTGGGAGAGGG